TTCTTTTCTTCCGTACAACCTTTTTTATCGTCTGTATATTTCATTATCTACGCAAAAACAAACTTTTTACATACTACATTAACATAATATTATTGCAATTTTTCTTGAATCTTACCTTTATAATATTCTTAGAACTAGTTATAATGTGTTGCGATGTTGCGTCTATGAGTTTAATGGGTTCATCCACATTATGTATTTTTAAACATTCAAAGTCATTTTTATTATCCTTAATTTTCCACCGTTTAATAATACCATCTCTGCAAGAATTTTTGTCAAAAATAAAGAAATGGAATAAACATAAAATACAGTTCATAAATAAATACTCACACGTCGCCACTTATAATATAATCATCGCAATGAGCAATAGATTTAATAAAAGTATAATTATCTTTCACAATCTTTTTATACTTTTTAATGGTACCGTTCTTTGTGCGATTATAAGCAAAAAAATTATTATCATCACAAAACCAAACCGTATTTTTAGTTATTTGTAAACATTGATTACTCGTATCATGATCTATAAACACTTTCCTTTCTATTTGATATATTCTACTGTATTTATGTTTTGCTTCTGCATATTTTTTACTTATTTTATATTTTGCATATATCCAGTTGTAATATGTAATATATTTAGAATTATATGAAGATAATAGTGTGTGGTTTACATCTGTAAGAGAAAATAAGATATGTTTTTCAATGTAATCTTATGTAAAATCGTGAATATTCTATATTCTAAAAATATGTAAATATTAAAATGTATTTTAAAAAGATATAATTAAAAAATTGAATCAAGTTTTGCATAATTAAAAGCAAGATAAAAAGTTGCGACTTAATATTAATATGTAAAAAAATTTTATCGACTAATATTGTAGAAAAAATTTCAAAAATTTCAAAAAAAGTATGTTTATTAGAAACACTTTTCTATTAATACTTTTAATTAGACAATTTTAGATTAATTTAGAAGTGATTAATGATGTCATTGCATTGGCTTAGTTTACACCGATTGTTTAGTACGCGTATCAAGTACTAAATCAGCTTCTTTGATTGGTGTAGATTTTACACTAAATGATTTATACCTATCGGAAAAGCAGATTTAGTATTTGGTCCGATATTCATAGTCGTTTTTTATATTTAAGATTGTTTAAGTCGTCGTCATTGTCGTCATAAGATACTAACTTGGCTTTTTGATTGGTTCGTAGCATTTTAAGACAATACTTAAGACAATCTTAAATATAAGAAAGGACTATGAATACCGGCCATAGTGTCTTAGAACCATACGTAAGCAATCTTAAGAGGGGAGCTTTGTATAAATCGCTAAAACAAAGGTGATTTTTAGGAATTTTTTTTGAAGAAACAATACAACGGATCTTTTTAAAACTTTTTGGTGTTTTATAACATATATTAAAAATAAAAAAAATTTTTTGTTTAAAAATAATTGATTATAGAGCCATAAACAAATGTTGACGCAGCCTCATCATTGGAGTTGTGAATTGGTAAGAGTTGTAGCGTCTTTTGTACTCGTTTGAAACAAAAATACAAAAAAGTTTTTTCTGTTCTATGAAATTATCTAGTCGAAGAACCTAAAAAATAAGTAAAAAGTTGAAAATTAAAAAAATGACAGCACTTTAAAAAAAAATTACGATTTTGACCCACAAAATGTCACCGTATTTATGCAATAAAAATTGTTTAAATTAATTATTTTACTAATTTTATAGGTTCATCGACAATTTATATTATTAAACTACATGTATACACAGGGACAACTCGGTTGATCGAATACTTTTTGAGTAATCTTTTCCACCAATTACCAAAAACTGTTTCGAGAAAAACGCGTTTAAAGTTTTCGGTATTGAAAAGTAAAAAAGAAAAGTGTAACAACAAGTTTAAAACTGAGACTCCGATTTCCTGTTTCTACGAATTTTACACTTTGCTTGCACTCTCCAAATTGCACTCTCAAATAAGTACTTCTAAAAACGCGCCAAAAACAGTTACAAATTCTATAATCCTATATCTTATGTTACCGTTGACCAAGCGCCCCGTCGCGCGCTTGTATACCTGCGCGCAAGAAATGGGCTGTGGATTCCTTAAAACTTCGAATTTTGTTCTGTAACTTTGGGAATATATTTTCTACATGGATTACTATCGATTAAAGCAAAAAAAAAATTTTCAATTTTTTTAACCGGTTATACGAGGCTCTCCCTTTAAAGATAAGAACGGACTATGACCGGTATTCATAATCCGTTCTTATATTCAAGATCGACTTAAGTAGGGATTTATATTTGCTCTTTTTGTCAGACACAATCTGTATGTGACGAAGAAAGCGAATATAAGTCCGCACTTAAGACGATCTTGAATATAAGAACGGATTATGAATACCGCCCTACGAATATCGCCCTATGACTCAAAAAAAAGGAAAAAAAATTTGCGTTAGCAATAGTACCTCTTGTATACTTGGGCAACGCGGAAATATATTGAAATATTTTAACATAATAAATTTAAAAATAAAATATTTTTAATAAATTTTAATAAATTTTCATAAATTTTATTAATCAAGAGAGAAAAACCCACTCATTGTTGAATAGTATCGTTCTTTACGCTCGGCGCCTAGTAGTTGCGGCGCAGGCAATAATGGAAAATTCACACTGCGTCCGATGTCAAGAAATTCTAGCTAGATATTTTATTGTCTAGAAAACAAGCTTTATTATTGGATATCGGACGTCGTACGTCGGACATCGGACACGTTATGAATTCTTTATAAGAGGAAAGAAGGTGTCAACCATGAAAATCTGCTAAAATGCTCAACTAATTCCGAGCTGTTCTAGAATAAATATAAATATAAATAAAGATTAGACTTTATATTACTTACCGTTCACCAAATTTTTTCGATTTCTGATTCGTGATACTGACAAACAAATGTTTACTTTTTTTATTTAATATATGCTTTGCCACATAATTAAATTGTCTGCACACCATACTAATTTGTGATAAAGTATATATATCACAGAAATTGAAAATTATTTCTAATAGCTCGTTTGGCAAAATATATGAATCAGACATATTTGTGTTCTTAATTGAACGTTATCACGTGAGAATATGAATATTATAATCGGTATGTTTACTGCGCTGAACTAGAAGTTACTCGGCAAACGATAAAACGACTGGACAAATGTGGCTCTAGTTCCGACTACAATTTAACGCTCAGAGCACCGCGTGCATTGTAGCAAAATGTCCGTTATCCGTTTGAATTGAACCACGTGCTCCGATTGGTGTAACTCCGACTGTATTAAATGAATGTCAGGAATACGAATAAACTTCTTTATTAACAGTATGATAAATGGTCTTTATTGCAAAATGCAGAATACACTTAATATTAACCGCCCGCAAGATTTAATTTACGCGCACTAGATTTAATTCACCGACGACTTTATTTCGACTGACCCTAATGCCGGCTCTGAACAGAGTGCCGTTTTACGTGTGGCTTCAGAAAAAGAAGTCGGTCCCGTATATTCGAGGATGTTCTGGATCGTTCGCCGCATCCGGCTTTGTACGGAAGCATCAACTGATCGTATCGTTTAAATTTCGATATATTGCATATCGAGGTATTGCTGGCAGCCAATTGCTGGCGCCGCCTGTCGGTTGACTATCGAAAAGTCTTACAGAACGCTATACTTTTTTATTTTTAAAGTGGAGTGTCTTCAGTTTAAGATCTGCTATTCGGCACCCTCTAGATCCTATAGACTACCACGTTGAAATTCCTTAAATAATTCTATTCGACTTTTTAATAAATCGGTAAACTTCAGCAACAGTCCTCACTCCTTCTGCCGGACTAACTGCGACACATAGAATGACAATTCATCACCAAAACCCACTGAAAAATAATAGAATTTTTGATTGGCACAGGTTTACTCGCTCCAAGAGCGAATAATGACGTCACAAGTTCCATCCCAGGGTTATTAAATTCCACTTTGGATTACTAGGGCTGCGTCGTTCCGTAAAGCGCATATGTGCGCATGTATTTGTAGTATACATAGGCTTAGTTTACATCGATTGTTTAGTACGCATACCAAGTACTAAATCAGTTTTTTTGATTGGTGTAGATTTTATACTAAACGATTTATACCTATCGGAGAAGCAGATTTAGTATTTGGTACGCGTACTAAACAATCGGTGCAAACTAAGCCATAACGTATGCTACAGAGAGAGTGCCGTCACATACAGCCCGTAATCCGTAATCCGCACCGGAAGTCCTCAAAAGTTACTAGGTATTTTATCCGTAACTTTACGTGTGTTTTTATCTCCTTGTGTCCCATGGAGCCGTAAATACAGACATAACGGTAGTACTATTTTTTATTTAACAGATTATAATTGTTTATTTGTATTTTATTTATAAGAAAATTACAGAATATATTATAATTTTAACAAAAGTTTTAATTAAATCGTCAAATTTAGTTAAATAAATAAAATTAGAAAAAGCTTTACTAGTAATAACTAGTAACTTGTAGTAACTTTTACGAAAATTTCATGGAATTACGGCTCCATGGGACACAAGGAGATAAAAACACACGTAACGTTACGGGCGAAATATCTAGTAACTTTTGCGGACTTCCGGTGCGGATTACGGATTACGAACTGTATGTGACGGCACCCTAAGGCCGGCGTCACATAGAACCCGTAGGGCCACTTTTTCCAACGTCGGTTAACTTTAACCGACTGTTACAGGATTGCCAACATGAAGAACAAAATATTGTAGTAGAAAGAGAAAATTTCTCTCATAACCTAAACAACTGTTGAGCTGCTGTCATGGATATTATTAATGATAATTGGTTTTCGGAATATGACAATTTTTATAATGATGAAAGTGATGAGTGTGATAATTTAAATAAAAAAAATTTCAAAAAATTACATATTATAAAATTACGCAACAATTATTTTAATATTTGTGAAGAAAAAGATTTTCAAAGAAGATTTGTAATATCAAAAAAAAGTTTTGAAATGTTATTACAAAAAATCGAAAATAAAATACAATATAATACTAATCGGTATAAATAATAATATTTATAAATACAAAACCAAGTAGTATAAAATAAATTTTCCAAAAAAGAAGTGTACACAATTACGTTTCTATGAACAATATTTTAATATCATTTTATGTGTTATTTCAGTAATGCTGCTATTCCACCAGTCATTCAATTATTGGTTACACTCAGATTTTATGCAACTGGATGCTTTTTAATAACAGCTGCTGATTTTTGTGGAATTAGTGAAACAAGCGCTCACAAAATTATTCATAGAGTATCTCCTGAGATTGCTGCATTACGAAACGATTTTATAAAATTACCTCTTTTATCTGAGGAAATTCGAGAAAATGAACAAAAATTTTTCAAAGTAGCCAAATTTATTCGTGTTATTGGTTGTATGGATTGCACACATATTAAAGTGGAATCATTTGGTATGTAATACTTGAACTTATTCTTAGCTTACAAAATTATATATTTGTAATTAACAAATAATATATTTGTATTTTAGGAGGAGAAAATTGCGAATTATATCGCAATAGAAAAGGCTTTTTTTCTATAAATGTGCAAGTCATAATAAATAGCCAAAATTAGAAATAATTGATATTGTAGCACGTTGGCCAGGATCAACACATGATTCTACAATTTTTAATCATTCTAGAATTAAAACCTTATTTGATGCACATACATTTGGTGACAGTTTACTTCTTGCAGATTCTGGGTATCCAAATCTACCATATTTAATGACACCGTTGTTACATCCCACAACACCAGAAGAACATTTATATAATGAAGCTCAAATTCGAACACGTACAAGAATTGAAAGATGTTTTGGCATTTGGAAAAGAAGATTTGCTATTTTATCAATTGGAATGCGATGTCGCACAGTTGAAAATACATTTCCTATTATAATAGCAACAGCCGTTTTGCATAATATTGCCCAACAGGAACATAATTCAAACTTAATTAGTAATTCTGAACAATGTGATAATACTATTATACAAATACAAAATGCTGATTTAAATTCTAGAAATAATAATAATGAACGAGAAAAATTAATTTTAGAATATTTTAAAAGGTAATATTGAAATGAATTATATATATTATATATATATATGAAATTATTACAAATAAGATATAATATGAAATTATGTATCTACAAATTTAATAATTGCAGGTTACTTTGAAGCATGTCAAAGAAACTTCAAAAAAACATTAAAGGCAACAATAATATATTTTATTAATTTTTTAAATATAAATAAATAAAAACAGATTATCAACTTAAAGAAAGAAATTGTTATTATTAATAACCTTTTACAAAAAATAATGACATTTTAGATGTATTTATAATAGTAATAACATTAAATACAATAAAAAATACAGCACCTTTATATTATTTTTTTAATATAATGCATTTGTCGTATTTAATAATCTGGTTTATCAAACTCTGATAATATAAACTAAAAATATGTTTTAAATAAGAAATTAAATAAATTCAACTTTTAAATTCAATGAACAAAACAAACATATTTCAGGTACAGAAGATTATCTCTTCAAAGAAACTTAATAGAAATAAAAAATTCAATCTTATCGAGTAAAATTCGAGTAAAAAAAAAACTAATCAATAAAAATATTGTAAACTATAAACTAAAAGTTTATTTTCATATTATTCTAAAGATATTACCTCTTGTTCCTCAATTTTTTGTTTTATCAGTTTTTCTTTTTCTATTAATATTTTTTCTTTTTCTATAGATAATTTTAATAATTCTACTTTTAATTTTTCTGTTTCTAATTTGTTCTTTAACGTTTCCATTTCGTACATTTCTTTTTCTTCTATATTAGCTTTTTTATTACATGCTATTTCAGTATTTTTTAGTTTTGAAATCTTATTGCACTGGCTGATTTCATCATGCTTCCTTTTTTTACCAATAGTACATGTTGATGTTGTTGGTATATCCTCTTCTTTATTTTGTAACGGAAAACTTATTTGTGATTTTAATTTCTTGCTATTCCAAATTGTCCAATCATTAATTTCTTTATTCTTTATTAAATGCTAAAAATTTTAAATGTTTTGTGTTAAATATTATATATTTATATTTTGTTAATAACTTTGTATTATTGAGTTATGAATTTACTGTAAATACTTCAGTTGAATTGCTTTCATCATTTGTATCTTGTAAAATATCATCAACTGTTATAATGTTTTCTTTATTATAAATGAAATCTGAATCATAGGGATTTAATAATCCATTTGTTGCTGTTTCCCCCATAATTTCTTTAGCTCGTTCATATAACATATTTTTTTCTAAATTAGACACACCTCCACCTACAAATTCGATAACAAAGTATAATACTTTTCTAATTTTAACATTAATATAATAATATAATACCATTAATTATATTAATATACATATCGTCCCTCTTATACCAAAATCATAAATGTGCAAATTTTCTTTAATCTCTTTGTGAAATTTATTTTATACTACTTGATAAGGTATTTACAAAGCTAGGAGCTTCAGAGGATATTTTAAATATCCTAGGATATTTTAAATACTTAGTTCTGAAGCTTTGTAAATACAAAATCAAATAATACAAAATAAATGTTACAAAGAAAAATGAGATTAAAATTTGCACATTCGTGGTTTTGACATAAAAGGCACGATATAACATTTATACCTGTTTTATAAATTTCTCGCTTAAATGTAGCGCAATATTTTCTTGTTTCTTTTTTTATATTATCCCATAAATATTTTAAATTTTTTTCTGTTCGTTGTATCGTATTACGTGCATTAAATTCCTTTGTAACATTTGCCCACGTTTCATCTTTTTTAAAATTATATTATTATTGCATTCTTTATTTTCTATTATGTGTCGATATAAAAAATAATGTCTAATAAACTATTTTTATCACTAGTTGTGAAGTTTCTTGATCGTTGCATTGTTATCTATTTTTAATTGTTAATATATTTATATACTCTTTCACTTTTATATCACTTTCTTTTTATTGTGTATTTAACGTGCCGTCACCGTGCTAAAAGATTACAGGTTAGGATCAGTTAGAATCGATGACGTGTATTTTAGTTACAAGTTTCGAAGTTGGCTATTCTGAAAAGTTAACGGACGGTTAGGCTTAACCGACGTTGGAAAAAGTGGCCCTTATAGGGGTGCGTTCAGAAACTACACTCTGGGAAAAAGTATTTGTCTATTATCTATAGTATACGTCACGTATACTATAGTATATATAGTAATAATAGTTACGTTACGTATACTATAGACAATAAACAGAGACATAACAGAGATATAAACAATAAACAGAAAATCTTTGTCTATTATCTATAGTATACGTAACATATAAAATAAATATTTGTATGTTATTTACTTTTCAGACAAAAAGCACTGATCTCTATATTACACTGGATGGCGTATGCTGTACAAAATGTGTGTTACGATTTGAAGACCCGGCAGCCATATTTGATACAGTAAAATATGCATCTTTCGGCGGTAAAATTCAAATGACGGTAATAATATAAACAACGATTAAAAAAATATTTTTATTGTTCACAAGTAGAAAAGGTAGTAGTATGAGTAAATGTGCATAAATATAAAATAATATTAAAAAATATAATAATTCTAAATAAACAATATATAGGAAAATATGTTAAAAATATGTTTTGTAGAAAAAAATTAAAAGTCGATAAATTTTTTTCAAAATTTTTATTTTCAAACTTTTTGCAATAAGTAATACAACTAATAAAGTAATACATTAAAAATCAAAAATTGTTATAAATGTAAATAAAATATTGAATATGATATTACAATATATATAACGTAAGTAATACATAAAATATAAATTCCAATGTTAAGTGGTCTGAACATAATAAAGAATGATTCTTTGGTACAAACTTTGATCCGAGATTCATGTTCTGCAACCATAACTGCAATATTTCCTTATCTTTCAGAGGAAACCTTCACAAAAAATATTCCACAATATTAATTTTGAAAAAGATATGACATTAAATGCAATAAAAAATTTACATAACCTGTAAGGCATAAATATGTGGATATGTAACTTATATACTTACTTATGATGTGTTCTACCCTCGATCCCTTGTTTTGAACCACAATATGTACACGATGATACCATTTTTGTAGCATGAGTAAAAATTTTGTTCAACTAACTCGATACGACGTACATACGACAGTTGGAATCTCAACCTCAACTGACCTCAACAGTGGACGCTACCATATTTGCATATTTACTTTATCAAAGATGGCTACCGTAACAGCTGTCCTATTCGATACG